ATTTTATTGGAGAATATATGGTTGATAAGAAGAAAAAAATGAATTATAATTTTAATGGAGGCCAAACATGAGGTGAATGTTGTAACAACATTTTATTTTTCAATATTCGTTGAAAAATAATTTAGGCCAAAAAACTTATTTAACTATAACTAACATTATAATTTTAGTAAAAAAAAAAAAAAAATTCCAACTCGACCAATTTTTCCCTATTTTATTGACCAAAATATATAGATGTATAAGAATTTGTTTTCCCACAGTAGATATTTTACAAAATTTAACACCTGGATACAAATTTCATTTCCCACGGTAAATATTTCACAAATTTATCATCACAAATTCCATTTCCCATAGTAGATATTTTACAAATTTGTCATGTTTGTATGTATTATTATGTCAATATTTACAGATCATGAATATATACATTTGACAATAAATATAGATATTAAATTAAATTCATTCTTGCAACATAAATATTAAAGTATAACATATAACTATTCTTATCTATGTAAAAAAATAGTATTTATTTGTTCATTTGTACAAAAAAAAAAACTTTATTTTATAGTGAAAAAAAAAAATTAGATAGTGTGCGAAGCTCAACTCTGCACTATACGGAGTTGAGCTCCGCACTTGTGTGGAGACACTCCGCATTCAGCGGAGTGAAGCTCCGTACTTGTGCGGACGAGCTCCGCATAATGCGGAGTTGAACTGTGCAGAATGCGGAGTTCAAACTCAGCAATGTGCGGAGTCCCCTCCGCACAATGTGGATTTCGACTCCGCACTCCACATTTTTTTATCATATTCATTTTTAAAATATAAATTAATTTAGCATTTTTTAAATTATTAATTTTTAATAAAAATAAATAAGAATTTGCCTAATTATTTTTTAAATTGATATATATAAACATTATATTTACTTATGTATTTGTAAATAACATTTATTATACACATATCAATTATAATTTCACGCAATAAACTTATTCAATTATTTTATTCAGTAAAAAAAGAAAAATTCACCTAAGTTGGTTTTCCCACCGTAGATATTTTACAAAAATTGACATTTGGATGCAAATTTCATTTCCCACAGTAGATATTTCACAAATTTATCATCACAAAATTCCATTTTCCACAATAGATATTTTACAAATTTCTTAGATATTTTGCTTTCGATTTCTATAAATACCCTACCTCAATATTTGAACGGTAAAAAATTTTCAAACTACGATACGAAAACTTGAACGCTTTATATTTTGCCAACTTCTACCTTCTACTGCTTATTTCAAGTATATTTCCCTAGTTATTATTTAGTAAGACTTACTCTTCATTTTTTTTCCTCATTTTTGGTTTAATTTAGTTTTCAGATTTCAACAATGGCTCCAACTTATAAATTGATACCACAAATTTCGGCCTCAAAAACTAATTGGTTCGCCAAAATCATAGTTGCAGGGAAGCAATATGTGAAAACAGCTCGACATTCCAATAGTCGTTACCAAAATATTATTATGATGGATTTACAAGTACATCTATATTGCTCAGAACATAATTTAAGTTTCTCTATATTTATTTCCTTTATTAATATATATTTATTTATTTTCCGGGGAAATAAGGTAACAGCAACAATGTATGATGCAAACATTACTGCACTAGATGATCAGTTTACATTGGGGAAGACATATATTGTCTCAAATGCAACCGTTAAAGACATTAAAAGTGAATTCCGAAATTTGGATGATAACTGGAAGAACAAAAATTGAACAAGTGCATGAAGACCATTTGAACTTTTTATTTTCAATACAAGAACTTACTTCATTTGATGACCTCCAGAAGCACATGGACCAAAACATAGACATAAGTAAGGGTGTGTTTGATTG